GTCTTTGTCCAGTTTTAGCCTAGTGATAACAACCTTGCTGGGGTGAATGCCTACATGGACAGTTGTGCCATTAGCCTTTTCCCACTGCACCCGTTCAATGTAGATTACGTATTTCTTCCTGTACACCTGGACTACTTTGCCAATCTGCTGACCTTTATAGTGTCCTCGTACAACCTGAACTTCATCATCCTTTCGGATGGGCATGGATCGCACGTTGTACTTCTGTCTCAGCTCTTTGGAAAGTGGGGAGGACATAATCTTCCTGCGAATGTGGGAAGGTGCATTGAAATGCCTTTTGCGATTCTTGCTTCGGTCGGAAGTCACAAAGGGATTGAACTTCATTTTGGCAGCTCCCGCTTGCTGTAGAGATGTTTTAAACTCCACGAGACTTAGACATACATGTGGGGAGGGTGTGTGTGTCTGTGTGTGTGTATGTTTCTAACACATTTCTAAGTAAAAGTGATTATACAGTCCTTAATACTTTGTTAGAAATAATATTTGTGTACATTCTAATGCATAAATTAACAAATAATTTTTTAAAAAACAAAAGGAGGAAGCTATCCTAAAAGACCTCAGGAAGCTCACTTTGAACAGTTTTGCCAGAGTGAGATATGCAGCCTCATGTCCCAAACCTATTTCTCCCAACTGGTGGAGAATGGTGCTATTACTACCTGGTTTTAAATTGACTGATATAATTGATTAGCTTCCAGTAAGCACTGGCATTCTATCTCCTTTCCTTTCCTCATGTGAGGCTGTGTTCCTTACTGTGTCTGCTCTGGTATTTTTCCTGAAAAGTATTGTCCCAAAGTCTGAACTGGAGATGTGGGAATTAGAAGCAGGGCCAGAGATCTTAAGGTCACTTGGCCAGCACATCTTAGCTTCATTGACCGAAGACATTTTCAGAAATAAAGGTGATATTTTGTCAAAATAAAAGAACAAGACAAATCCAATATAAAAGATATAGAAAAATCTCTAGGTCTAGAATTGAGAAGCCAAAAAACGTTTTCAGCACTGTGGAGATCTGCCACAATTTAAGGCTTGAATATACAGAGCCAAATCTCTCAAAGCTAAAAAGTTTTTCAAATATCATCTTCTGGTTTAAGAACCATTTTGTCAAATCATGTACACAGGAACTGAACACATTTTGGGATCAGTGCTGCTCCAAATTTAACGGGCAACTGAACCACCTGGGGATCTTGTTAAAATGAAGATTCTGATTTAGAGGTCAGAGGTTGGGCCATTTTTAACAAGTTCCCAGGTGATGGTAATGCTGCTGGACCACACTTTGAGTAGCCAGGTAGCACCTAGAGAAGCAGAACAACTGGTTGCAATAAAGAGAATGAGCTTCATGATTAGCTCTTGAATTTTCACAGCTGTTCTTAAGGTGAAGCAACTTTTAGTGCTTTTTCAGGCCTTGGTGTTTTGCAAGTCTCCCAGCTACAGCCATCACATGTAAACAAAACTACAGAAATGCAGCCTGTCAGAGCAAAGAAGTGTGGATCGAAGGGCTGAAAACAAAAATAAATAAACAACATTAAGCAAGTCTTGTGGGACCAGGGCCAGGGCTGCCTGGGTCCCAGACCACAGTGTTGACCTTTGTTTGTACTAGTAGGTTGCCACTTATGACATCTCTCCTTTCTTCAACAAAGTATGTCTTTACATTAATTTAAAGCAGGATTTTGAGTGTATGTGCATAGGGAAAACGTGAGATGGACTTACCTGTTTCTTTGAAATCTCCCAAGGGTTTGTGAAGGTACATTTCAGGAGAAGATTTTGAAGTCCTGGAAATAGAGGGATGAAAAATGGGTAAGAAGAGAGGAATATGTGAAAAGGATTCTTGTAAGTAGTAAGGACATAGTAGACTGGAGCCTCAAGTCATAAGTTTAAGGTAAGATGTGAGCTGTCAATGGAAAGTGACATGTTTGTTTAGACTTGGTGTCAGGGAATCAGAAATATTCCTTTCAGCGGTTTGATACTATGTGTTGCACAGAAACTCAAGTTTTCTGCCTATTTTATTCTCTATCAGAAGTAGTATGCAAATAGATGGAGTTTTTATTTCCTTTAATGCTCTTGGATAGTTGGATAAAAAGGCATCATCAAGTATTTTTTATTATTTTAAGCTCACATTCATTGCTCTGTAGTAGAATATCATTAGTAGAATAGAACAACCTCAATAAGTCACCTCCAAAATAGTATTTTTCTTCGAAAATGCTTGTTTTCAGCTTGGAACTGAAAATATCAAAATTTGAAAAGGCTCTCCAGAATTCAAATGAAATTGAATGTAGTTATTTGTCTTCCCTATGGCAGACAAGTGTTATTAGTAACTAAAAGACAGAGAAACATTTGGTGGAACTATGTAGGGACTGAGTCTAATACTGCCAGAGCCAATTAGTTTCAAGTTAACCTAAAAGGTAGGGTGTAAGGGTGGTGGTGGATGTAACTTTTTAAAGAACCTATTTTCATGTATATTTACATACATTATCGTATTTTTAGCATCCTTCATTTTTTGGATATGCATTTTCTGAAGCATATTTACCAACTCAAAGTCAAAACTATGTTTAAAAATATCAATGTAAATTAAGGCAGCAGTGTTTTGTCCCCTTCCATTTATGCTGTGCAGAAAAACAGACTTCTGTGTGGTGTAAGTGTGTTCCGATTAAAGCTTTAAATTGGTGGCTAGTAGCCCAGTTATAAAAAACTTGGCTGCCTACTGCTCCTTGGTAATGTGTTCTACAGGCTGTTGTTTTCTGCTGATCGCCTATTTACAGTGATTTACTCCAAATATGTGGGTGTCTTAAGTATATGGGTGTTGTCCAAAAAAAAAAAAAAGTCAGCTTATTCTAAATGATGAAATGAAAGGCAACACACAATAGCTTCTGTTGATCCCCTACTAATTCTCAAATGGGAAAAAAAGACCTTCCATAGACTCTTGGAGGCCAACAGAGGAATTAGCTAGGAGGAAGGGAACCAGTTGCAAGAAAATGGTCATGTAAAAAGGGCCCTCTGCACAGCCACTGTTGGCACAGCACTGATGTGAGCAGAGGAAAAGAGGCAGATAAAGCCTGAACCTTTAAGACATTTATAAATCAAGTTGATGAGGCTGAACACCATCCAAATGAAATGAAGAGCTCAACTACAAAGCAGAAGAAAAAAACTATGCTGGATCAATCTAATACAGTATGCCACAAGGTAAGAGGCTAAAGGTAAGTCAACACTTCTTACTAGGATTAAACAATTGCACCATTATAATGAAAAAGCCTGAGATTCTAATTAAGACTTCTCTCCACTTCATATAGATCCATTAATCAGTGCATTTGAGGTTAAGATTTTAAATCATTTATGAGTTTACCTAGTTATATCATAATTCAACATCAAGTATTCAATTTTATTGAGCATACCTAAGGTTTATATGGTTAAATAATATATGTTTCTTGACAGTCATAAGCTCCAAATATACAGAGATGAGGGAGAGACAGATGTGAAAATATAACTACAAACTAAAAGGATAGTGATTATCATATAATAAATGAAGAAAAATGATATATGAACATAGAGGACAGTTATCAAGTATACTTGAATGATCCAGGACAGGATTCTCAGAGATGGTTACATGAGGGATTTTTGATACATGCTTCAAGAAATCCAAGCACACAATGAACACAGGACTGATTTTTTTACTCTATCAGAAAACAATTAATGTTATTTTGCCATGATATTCTTTTAATGATTCTATGCTAGCTTTCTGTGATTACTTTTGTTACATTTTCAATGATCGTAAATAGTTCATTTAGTGATTGTTCCCAGAATTTTGCCATGACTTGAGTTTAAGGCTATTGATCAATAATATGAAAACTGACTATTTTCTAGGTCTTTTATTTATTTATGTTTTTGAGACGGGAGGCTTGCTCTGTTGCCCAGGCTGGAGTGCAATGGTGCCATCTCGGCTCATTGCAACCTCCACCTCCTGGGTTCAAGCAATTCTCCTGTCTCATCAGCTTCCCTATATAGGCGCCTGCCACCACGCCCGGCTAACTTTTGTATTTTTAGTTGAGATGGGGTTTCACCATGCTGGCCAGGATGATCTCCAACTCTGAACCTCAGGTAATCCACTGACCTTGGCCTCCCAAAGTGCTGGGATTACAGGTGTGAGCCACTGCGTCCAACAAAAACTGACCATTTTCTAGTTCTACTCTTTTTGATACTTTATGTTTATCTTTCCAGGTTCAATGCAGTGAACTGACAATGCAAGGTATTTTAAGCAGAAAAAGGTTTAATATAAGGACGTAAGGTTTTAAATATGGAGGACTGCAAGTCAGCATCTGACACTAGAGTAATCATAGCTGAGATCCAAAGATGAGGAAGATGCTGTTGGTGTCATACCTTCTGTGTCACATCTGCATCTCATGCCCAGAGTTAATGACTTGTCATGGTAACCCTGAGTCAGGCCACAAACAGATATATCTTTATGAATGCTTTGCTAGCAGTTACAGCAGCTGTAGCAGGAAAATGGCCTACAAGTAATTTGATCTTCAGAGTGGGGCTCCCTGGTAGAACCTAATTGCCATTTAGAGGCCTAGCTTGAAGAGAGTCAGATAATGTAGTTTTTAGGTTTCTACATTGTGTTATAAGAAAGTATGTAGAAAAGAATGGGGATAAATGACAACTACCAATGAACTGTACTAATCTCACTTTTATTCCTCAAAGGTTACTAACACTTATCCAGAATTCCATCAGTTTTGACAACAAATTATTTAACTACATTTAATCTAAAGACATTTTATTATCAACTAGATTCATTTACTCATGAAATATGTGTTTACTTAACACTAACTCAGCACCAAGTAAGCACCCAGCTCTTGAGGATACAGCTGTGTATCGAGTGGACTATGTTCCCTGCCCTCAAGGAATTTATAGTCCAGAGGCCAAGATAGGCTGAAAGAAATGATCACTTGCAAAATGTATACTTGAAATTATTGTAGGAAAAAGTAGGAAATAAGACATCAAAGCACAAGAGTGTAATGTTGATTTGGATGGTCAAGAAAAGCTTTTTTTTTTTTTCCACAGAAAATTTTGAAAGCTTTGAACATACCCAGGAAGTATTACAGGTGAAGAGAAAAACAGCAAAGGCAGGAGACAATTCCTCCACAGAATTATAAAAAGGCCAATGACTAAGGGAGGGTGGAAAGTCTTCCCAGAATATGAGGAGTTTATTTTTTGTTTGCTTAATTGTGACAAAATGCACATAACCCAAAATTTATATTAACTATTTAAAAAATATTCCTTTTTTTAAGAGAAGAAAAAGGAGGTTCAAGGCTGCTGAATAGAGATGCTGGATGTCAGGTCTCCTCAGAAAGAAGAACCAAA